ATTTAGTAAACTTAGGTTTATAGTGAACATTGCTAAGTATAGCTTCACAGATATGGGATTGTTTCAATGACCTGATGCCATTGACACAAGGTAAGAACTATAGGGTGCCAAAAGCACCCATTGGCCTTTTTCATTTTCACACTGAAAATATGTAACTAAATTGCATGAACTTGATAGAAACTTTTGAAATAGTGTCTAGTTCTTCCAGTAAAAATTTCTTAAGATTTTAATTTGTGTATCATTTTATAGGTTGTAAATATTTTGTAATTTTGTGAAACTGTTTTGAAAAATGCATAATTTCATTATAGTCTTTTTGTATTTATTATTGTTATTCAAAAAACTTAATTTTGAATACCCAGTCTATTTTAACTTGTTTGATATTCATTCAAATATTTATTTTAATACTTTATGTTCCCAATTAAAGCATACAAACACAACAAGACTGACAAAGATATATTGTTGACCAATGACCTCAGCTTTCAAAGTAATATCACTGTTACCTTTGTCAGGTGTGGTAGCATAATATATTTTTGACAGCAAGTATTTGATCAATATAATTTTTTATTTAATAGTTATGGTTTGTTGTTATAAATAAGAAGTACTAGTATTTGTGTGCATTGTTTGAGTATAATAAACTTAGCGATATATTTAATTAAAAAAAGATATTTGTTGTCTGAATAGTTTAATATCACAGACCTAGCTTACTGTACTTGTTGAATGTAAATATCTATATCTGATGTGTTGTCATTGTAGAATATTCCTGTAGCTTTCCAACAGATATGATGTGACAAAAGCATTATCAGAAATGAAATAACATCAGATGTAATATATCTGAAAGGCTGCAATACACATTTTGGAATTTCTTGAAAACATTAACAAAAATTATGTGAAAGTCAATATTATCTTTCAAAGGGAAGTTAGTTTAAACAGAATTTTTGTACTAATGTTGAAAGATATGTAGAGAGATCTAGTCTTTACAACATTTCATAGAGAAGACTTGGGGAAAACTTAGTGTGTTTTTCATTTTTGTCTCTAGAGTTTAAAGAAAACTATGGATGAGGAGAAAGTCAAGGGGTTTTCAGAAGTAGTGGTGACAAATAATGTAACTGATGGTATTTGTCATTTGTAAGTATTTACAAAAAATTAATTTTTAAGTTATATATATATATTTATATGTAGACACACACACAAGTATTTTGCTAACTTTTATACACATAAAAACATTGTTTTATAATCAGGCCAGTCAGTATGACACACCTGTTTACCATGATGAAATTATTTTCAGAAAAAATAGAAAGTTGTTTGTTTAAAAAAAATTATGTAACCAAAAGTTGTTAAGAACTGATTGAAAGTAAGCTAATTATATACAAATTAGAACTAAAATAATTGTTATTATAATGTGAAGTAATAAAGACACTCTTGTATAACAACTGGCATGAATTACTAAATGTTATAAATAAATATTATTACTTTTTGTGGTTTTGCCTTCACGAAACTTATCTACTAGTTCATGAGGTAGTTATATTGTGTCCTTCTTGACCTTTCTTTTGGGGGGATACCTTGTTACACAGAAAAGAGATACTTCCACATTTTTGTACCTGTTGTTTATGATTGATCAATAACAAAGTGAATATGTATTGTGAGTGATTGGTCAGCAACAGAGAAAATATGTAATGTGAATGCAGTTTTGGTGGTCTCAAATCAGAATCAATCGAACTTTCGAGAAAGGCAGTTTGTTTCTTTATCTGAAAGAGTTGGAAGTCACTGTAAAAATACAGTCTTTTATGTCACCTTAGTTCAACCTGCTGATCATGCATGTGTTATTTTAACTTCACATTGTTTTCAAATTCAGTCAGTTTTATTTTACTTTCCTTCCATCGTCTCAACCAGGAAGATATAATACAATTGTAGGTGAAGTTTGAAATAAAAAGCACTTTGTTGTATTGGTCAAACTTGTTTGTTTTTTCTCTTCTATACATCTTCTCACATTAACATTCTATCCAGCTAAATCTTCGAACTTCTTGTTATGCAGGGGAGGTTTACCTATGTGTTATTATTACTCTAAACTTGGAATATCACATGTTGCGAAGCTGTATCAAATTAACACTACGTTTATGGGAGTGTATCAAAGTAGCCTCTCGTGTAACCAACAAAATAAAATGACTATAGAAAAATACTTTTTTCCAAATGTCATTTGCATAACCCCTAGAACCTCCTCAGTTAATATCAATAGTTCATTTTAATTTAACTCTTTTTTTCAGCATGCAAAGTAATTTTAATTTTAAGATTTAATATGCTTTTATGCATCAGAAAATTTTCAAATTTCACAGGCAAAATCTTTATAACCTCCAGATAATTATCAAACGTTTTTTTTTAAACTTTATGTTTATCTGTTATTTCACTACTGTATCTCTGTACAGGTTGGGTCGATTTGACAGACCTCATAACCACCACAAAAAATTAGGAGATAAATATAAATAATTATTTTTTCTTTCTAAAATAACTACTAATC